AACTGTTATCAGGACTGCTTGTGAGGGTTGGAAATGTAAAAGTAGACGTTCTGTAGCAAGGAGGGGAGTGATTAACTTTTCAGTCTAGGAGCAGAGGTCCCTGGGACCATCAAGGGAGAAGAGTGGAGAGCGGGAGGGACCCTACCCAGAGAAGCAGTGCTACCAGAGATGGAGGCAGAGATGATGACGTGGAGAGATGGAGTAGCTGGGGACTTTAGACCTAGAGAGGGAGAGGGGCTGTGTGCTGACGACCAGGGGGCAGGCTTGTATACTCTTTGGTTGGTTGATGATGCATGAGGGAATTGTAACCATGGCAATGAAATAATATACAATAGGATGAATGTAAAACTAATGTTCTCCCATGTAAACTATCACATAATTCACAACAAAACATTTTAAAAACAACAACAAAAAAAGGGAATCACAAGAAAAAAAAAAAGACAAACTAATTGCCAAGAAGTCTAGGGTGAAGTCTTTCCAGAGCCTGCTGAACATGGTCCAATCAGGAGTATGCCTTAGGGTGGTGACTGTGAGGCCAGTAGAGACAGCACTGTGTTAGCAGCCCCAAGACCCCGCCTCCTCTAGTAATTTATAGTCATGTGGCCTTGCTAAGTCAATGTGGGTTCGCTTCCTTGTCTATAGAATGGGGATGGTTTCATTTGCCTCCAGGCCTTGCAAGTACCTTGGGGGAAACAGGAGGGGGAGAGCAGCTATAAAAGCATTCTGTCAACTGTGCACCAGATGTTAAGAACTCTCAGACTCACCCACAGACCACTTCTGACTCCATGACCCAGTCACAGCCCCCTCCAGAGAGGGACATGATACCTTTCACCTGACAGTTCAGGCCTGCTCAGAGTTCAAGGATTGTCACAGCTTGCTTGTGGTCATAAGCAATATGGTTCAAGTGGCCTGAGGCAGAGTCCTAAAGCAGGGACCAGGGCAGGTGGGGGAAACCTGTTATGTATCCGTATGTATCCACACACACAGGTCCCTGAGTTCCGGCAGGTCCTATCCACAGTTCTGGATATGGACACAAACTATACCCTTAGAACAATTATGAAATAGTACAGAAAGAAATCCAAAAGAGGTGGGAAGATTAGAGTGAGGCTTTTAGGTTAAAATTGTATGTTTCACCTTTGATTTTCTTTTGGAGTAGGCAAGCCAGACCCTTAGCAGCAGGTGTCATTGTCTTCCTAGCTTGCAGGGACCACAAAGACTGGCAAACTGCAACATACCCTTCCCAGCCCTCCCTTCTTTGCCCAACAAATGTGTCACTCTTTAAGATTGAGCTTGAACAGCAGCTCCTTCCCCAACTGCCGTGGGAGTGAGCTGCTCTCTCTTTTGTGCTCCCAATACACTCTGTATGACCTTGGATTCATCTCTGCTAGAGATGCTAGTTTGCATGCCCATCTCCCCAGCTAGACTGAGCTCTCTAGTCATCTTTGAATTACTCCTCACCATCCAACCCAGCACAAAGCCTGGCACAACACAGTAAGCAGACATCTGCTGAGGAACAGCACCAAACTCCTAAAATATCATCAAAGGAAAAGACCAGCATCTACGTGACCCTCTCCTCTGTGTTGCAGAAATGCCATGGCTGAGTCAGACTTGCTGGTCCATTGACTGCACATGCCCCTACGTACAGGGCAGGGGAGAAGAGCAACAGCCATGACCCTTCAGCTCAGAATGGAGATCCAGCGGAGAGCCACTGACACCAGGACACTGCTCTCGGGCATGTGGCTTCAGCTGGGGAGGTAATAATGTGAGATCAGCAGTACTGAGAACACACGTCTTGGAAAGCTAGACAAAGGGTAAAGTACGCAACAAAGACAAACAACAGCTAGAGACTGGTTTATACAGTCACTCTGGGGAATAAGAGCTGATGGGAAAGGTCAACCGACAGGGTACAACACACTTTTAGATTTCCTTCAAATCAGACCACTATCTAGCTCTTAAGATGTACCTGTGTGTTCTCTAAAGCTGTGCGTGTACCTTTAAGTCCATATGTCATTTCTTTCTATGGATCCATATGAAACTCTCGAGGACAAACATGCTAAAAACTTTTATTATGTGAAGTCTGATCTCCCTTTCTTCGGGATCCCAGAGTGCCACAGATGCTTCTGGACCTGATGAAAGGGCACAGCACCCACTCCTTCCACACTCCCAACATCACCCGACCCACAGGTAAGACAAGACTCACCTTTGCTACCAGTGATCACTGGCACATTACGTGGTCGAGAGCGGCAGTCAAAAATAATTGGTTTCTGGACCCAAGGGATGAGAAAATGAGTCCCTTCTCCTACCACGATGTCCTGGACTCCACGGAACCGATCAAAGATGACAGCTCTGTGTCCCGCATCCACTAGGAAGGAGGAGGATAATGACAGGTCAGAAAAGCCCTCTCCACATCCTATAACCAAGAGGATCACGTCTTTGCAAGATCCCTGGTGTTTCCTGTTCATTTATTAAGTCTGCCCTCTTCTACTGTCTTCCTGAACTTCGAGTCTCTAAAGGCCTCCAAATAGCTACAAAACTAAGTAGTCACTTCCTGTCCTGAGTGTCTCACCAAGGGCTTTGGTAATAGGAACTGCTCCTAAGAGTCCTTTTTCCTTGGAAGAGCTGGTTGCTGATTTTCTGATTAACCATCCCCTCCCAAACACTACCAACTTATTTCCAGGAATCACCTCCCAAAAGTTCTATCAAAAACTCACTGAAGTCTTTATTATTACCATGGCCAGTCCTGGCTTCAACTTGCCTAAGAGCCCAGATGTAGCACCTTTTTAAGGGTATCTGAAAATTTAGAAGTTGCCCCTAATACCTCACTTTCTCTAAGGGCTGTAAGGGGTTACAGCGCTGTCTAGCTAACAGAGAGAGATGAGTGATTATGATGACCGTCTAGCTGTGTAAAAGGATCCTAGTATAAAGTTGCACCGTATAAACCAAGCAAGCTTTTCTGATTGGCTGCTTTCTCTTCCTGCCTCTGGACTGTCCAGTTGGTTCCACGGATCTCCACACTGAAAGGAATTCTCCTTTTGTCTAACTTCCATACACAAGGCAGGTCAACTTGCTACAGTTTTCCAGTGGAGAAAAGTACAGAATGTCCAAGTGAGAAAGGGTCTTAGAGAAAAACAAACGCATTCCCACTATTTGACCAATGAAGAATTGGAGACCTCAAGAGAGGTAAAGTGACTTGTCTAAGGCCACACCATAAACAGGAAGAAAAGCCAGCTCAAAGCCCTGCCACACTACTAAAAACTGGGCAATGCATCCCAGAGAGAATTCCTCTGGAACTACCCAATTCAGCAGAGCAAAAGCTCCTGTTCAGGACATGGTCAATTAAAAAAGATCTAGCTATGCCAAGTCCTCTCCATTTCAGCCAGCCAGTGAAATCACAACAGTTCGAAGCATACTGGGTGGTGTCGCATCACTTCAAATTACCAAGAGCAGGAAACAGCCAGCCAGCAATTAGGCTGGGCAGCTCTTTTTGAAATCAAGGCTCTCAGAAGAACCTACAACCCAAAGAACACTAGGCTCTGATAACAATGTAAATACATGGTTTAGAATGGCAGTAGGTAAGCCCTCTCGTCACAAACGCAGCTCCCAACACAAATGTCACAGGGACTAAACAGACTGACAGAAATCTTCTGGCAAAGGGCAGTGACACTGTGCCTCACCATTGTACAAGGCAGAGTTCACCACACCTCCTGCAATGGCCAAGGCCAGGCCAAACTTGCCGATGGACTCAAACACCTTGGCAGCCATGTTGTCGTCTTCTGCTGGCTGGCTCTTACCTTTAGCCACTTACACCTAAAGAGGTAAAACACAACAAAAAGTGACCCCAAAGTCTCCAGAGGTCGTCTCTGAAGCACAACGCTCGTTTCCCAGGCTGGGTATTTATTATCTCACTCTTGAGAACTCAAAATCTGCAACCAAGGGACACCCAATAAATAACACTCTGTAGCTTGGGAAAATGCAGCTATTAATTCACTGGGGCACTTGGCTCAATAATGGGAGCATGAAGTTAGTAAGACCAAGGCACGAGCCTGACACCAAGAACTTTTAGCAGCATGCATTCTTATTGGTGGCATTCTGTAGGAATTTATTTCTCGCAACTCCATGAAGTCAATGATTACAGATGAGGGGCATTAAAATACGTTAGAGACATTATGTGAGGAGCCTAAGATCACACCATTTTGAATTGGCGAATTTGAAAAGGGTGGTCTAACTCTGGAAGGTATAGCTTCATCCCTCATCATCCTGCTTCTCGAACATTATGTATTGATGTTCCATCGTTATGGAAGCAGGAGCTGAGTGACATTCTGGAACCAAGATTTCAAAAGAAGCGATTTGGGCATAAATGGTCTGAGTAACCTTGTAGCCAAGAAGCACTCTGATAGGAGAGTGGAGGTGAGCCTCGGTGGACGGGTCCACACAGTTGACCTAATTGAAGACCCACTCCAGAGTTTAACTTTGCTTCCTCTAGTTTTTTTCTCTAATGCCCTGTCCCAACGCCGTCGTTACTCACAGTCTCAAACCTCCCCTCCCTCCAAGACTCAACTCTTGAGGCTAATTTGCGCTGTTCCCGTGCATTTAAATTTTCCTTTCCCCAGCCCAGGACTTCCGGTCCTTACCCTTCAACCTTTGTATTGCAAGAGCTTCTGGATTATTCTTTACCCTGCCCCCATATAAACCTCCCACACTTAATGCAACCCCTGCCCGGACCCACCCACTTTCTCTTCCCCTGCGAAGCGGATCCACGGACAGACCCCGCTCGCCCAAAGTGCTTATGGAAGGAAGAAAAGGGAATTACAGAGACGCCCAGACACGGGCCTGAGCCACCTCCCAGCGTTCTCACCTGCTTTCACTCTGACCTCCACATGAATTCCCAGCCACACACTACGCACGCGCGGGACAGCTCCTCCTCTTCCCCCACCCTCTTGCAATATCTGTGCCTCCGATTGGTGGGGAAGAGCGCTGTGACTTCTGGGAAAGGTAGTTTGCAGTCTTGCCCTGACGCCACAGCTCTGTGGAGGTGGACTACGATTCCCAAAAGGTCATGCAGCTGATGGCCCGCGCAGTAAAGCTTTTCTCTTTGGCGGTAACCTAAGGGAGGTTGTCGCAAAACCTTTTGGGGACTGTAGTTCCTGGGGGATAAATGCACGTGCATCTCCTGATGCAAGTCCTAGAGCCTTATGGAAAACGGCTGCGCCTGTGGCTGTTGACAGAACTGGACAGGACAGTGCTGGGAGGAGCCTATGGCTGATGAAAGAAGAGGGCCGGGTACTCTGACAAAACAACTGGTGGATGGGAAACCTTGAGGGTAGTTAAGATGCCGTCTTCTTGCCCAAACCAGAGTGAATCTTAGAAACAAACAGGACTAGAAAACTGAGGCCCAGAGAGGTGAAAGTGATTCACTCAAGCTCTTTCACCAAGTTAGCAAAGGAGCTCGGTTTAGACTCTGGGTTCCCTGGTCACAATTTAAAAAACAAACAAAACAAAAAACCGTTTTATTTGACTTTGCACTAGCAAAGAATATATGTATTTAGTAAACTTATTAAAGTTCACCTTGTTAACATTTTGCTCCATTTGTTTTATCATTTCTTCTGTCCGTTTCTATCTACCCTGTACGGGGTCTCTATGGGTCAGAACCGACTTGACGGCATTTAACAACAACAATCGCATCATATGAAGAAGCCCTGGTAATGTAGTATATTACAAACTGGGCTGCTAACCTCAAGGTTAACAGTTCAAATCTACCAGTAGCTACAGAGGAAAAGATGAGGCTTTCTGCTCCCGTAAACATTTACTGCCTCAGAAACCCTATACAGGGTTATTGGGAGTCAGAACCGATTCCACAACACACCAACCACCACCATCATATCATATATGCAAGGTCAGGCTGATGCGGAAGAAAATTAAAACAAGTCCACGAGAACTAAAATATGACCTGGAACATATCCCACCTAAATTTAGAGGTCATCTCAGGAACAGATTTGATGACTTAGACACTAATGACCGGAAACCAAAAGAGCTGTGGGATGACATCATAAACATTATACAGGAAGAAAGCAAAAGGTCATTAAAAAGGTAGGAAAGAAAAGACCAAAACAGATGTCAGAAGAAACTCTGAAAATTGCTCTCCAGCAGAGAGATACTGAAGTGAATAGAAGAAATGAAGAGGTAAAAGAGCTCAACAGAATATTAAAGTGTTCAAGAGTAAAGATAGCAGTTTGAAAACTAAGGTGTGGTATTTTCCATAGCCTTATATGCAAGTGAAAGTTGAACAATTCTTCTGTAGGAGAATTGATGCATTTGAGTTATGGTGTTGTAGAAGAATATTGAAAGTACCATGGACTGCCAGAATAACAAGCAAACCTGTGTTGGAAGAAGTACAGCCAGAATGCTCCTTAGAAGTCAGGATGGCAAGATTAAGTCTCTCATACATTGGACATGTCCCCAGAGAAGGATACCATGCTTGGTAAAGTGGAGGGTCAACGAAAAAGAAGAAGATTTCCAATGAGATGATTGGCACAGTGGCAGCAGCAATGGACTCAAACATTACAACAATTTTGAGGATGGCACAGGACCAGGCAGTGTTTTTGTGCTGTTGTGCATAGGGTTGCCATGAGTGAGAACCTACTCAATGGAACCTAACAACAACAAGAATCATATCATGTCAAGAGAAATAGCATCACATTCATTGTCAAAAAGAACATCTCAAGATTTATTTTGAAGTACAATGCTGTCTATGATAGGATACTATCCATATGCTGACAAGGAAGACTAATCAATATCACTATTATTCAAATTTGCATACTAACTACTAAAGCTAGGTCTACCAACTTCTTCATTCTGAAACTGATCAAGTGTGCAATTGAGGTGCATTGATTATTAACTGCTGATTAGAAAGCAAAAGTTGGAAACAAAGAGGAAGGATCGCTAGTCGGAAAATGGCCTTGGTGATAGAAATGATGGTGGACACTACATAAACTTTTGCAAGACCAATGACTTATTCATTGCAAATACAACATAAAAGGTGACTATATACATGGACCTCACCACATGGGATACACAGAAATCAAATTGATTACATTGGTGTGAAAGATGATGGAAAAGCTCAGTATCATCAGCTAAACAAGTCCAAGGACAGACTATGGAACAGACCACCAATTGCTCGTATGTAAATTCAGGCTGAACCTGAAGAAAATTAAAACAAGTCCATGAGAACCAAAATATGACCTTCAACATATTCTATGTGGATTTAGAGGCCATCTCAAGAACAAATTTGATGCATTAGGCACTAATGTCTGCAAACCAGAATTGTGGGATAGCATCAAGATCATCAGAATTTTGCTGAAGAAAGCCAGAAAGAAAAGACTAATATGAATGTCAGAAGAGACTCTGAAACTTGCTCTTGAGTGTAGAGAATATAAAGCAAATAAAAGAAGTGAGCAGGTAAAAGAGCTGAACAGAAAATCTCAAAGGGCAGCTCAAGAAGACAAAGTCAAGTAGTATAATGAAATGTGCAAAGACCTGGAGTTAGAAAGTCAAAAAGAAAGAATACACTCAGCATTTTTCAAGCTGAAAGAACTGGAGAAAAAATTCAAGCCTCGACTTGCAATAGTGAAGGATTCTATAGGCAAAATAAGGAGCTTGGGTAGCGTAGCGGTTACAAATCTCAAGGTCGGCAGTTTGAAACTACCAGCTGTTCTACAAGAGAAAGACGAGGCTTTTTGCTTCCATAAAGATTTATAGCCTC